AGGAACTAATTCAAACGATCCCAAACTAAGGGCCATAAGCTAAGGGTGAGAGGGAGGGAGCATCTTCTGCTGATACAAAGTCTCATCACTCCATTATTCTGTGTGTGACATATTTGGAGGTGGCTGAGCTGTAAACAGCTGAGATCATTTTAAGAGGAAAAGTTCAACGATAGTCTCATTGTAGAGCTGTACCCTTAGATTAGACAGCTGTAACTGATGCTTTGGTCAAAAGGAAGTCCCTGAACTGCCACCTGGGCATGACCAAGAATATTCATGGAGAGCTGGGCATAGAGTAGGGATCAGCTAAGTAAAGTCTGTGGGCCAAACCTGGCCCATCCCTGTTTTTGTTTGTCTAGTGAGTTAACAATGTTTTATAGACTTTTTTAATGGTTGGGGAAAAGCTAAAGAAGAATATTTTGTGACACATGACATTTACATGACATTCAAATTTCAGTGTCTGAATATGAAGTTTGAGACCTATCCATGCCCATCCACTTACATGTTGTCCATGCTGCCTCTCATCACAGTGGCACGAGAGGACACGGCCCTCGAACCTAAACTACCTACTATCTGGGCCTCTATGGGAAAAGTGTGCTGGCGCTTGGCTTAGAGAACCATTGTGCCAGAAGACAGGTAACACGATCAGACTAGCAGGATCTGTGACACTGAATATGCTACCATGATACTGCTAACTATCCTCTAATAGTTACTACTAAAGAAGTTCCACTGTGGTGTTGAGCCTCAAAGTGTGCCAGGTACGGTGCAGCCCTCTGTGGGTTGTGGGGTTGTGCATGTAATGCTTATACTATTTCGGCTGTGACAGAGCCAGGACAAGAGGCCAAGGCTGGGACTATACACTGCCATACACTGCAGTTTTAAATGTGGTGGCCTTTTTATTGACATTCTGTCACATTTAATCCTGTATTATCTCACTGGAGATACAGCAGTGGTTCTCAAAGTGTGGTCCCAAGACCAGCAGCATCAGCTGGGACCTTGTCAGAAATGCAGATTTCTGGCCCATCAGAAGCTGACTGACTCAGAAGCACTAGAGCTGGGTAGTCAGCTCTCAGGTTATTCTGACTAACATCTGAGAACCACTGTAGACGGAGGGAGCTGAGGTTTGCTGAGCAAATTAATAACAGCAAAAATCAAGCTGCCAGGAGACCAGTCTGATCCATAAAAAAGAACAATTTCCAAGGACCCTCAAGCATTTCAGAAATAGCTATTTTATATAAACGATTAATGATGATCCACGGTCCTTTGTCCTAGGCAATTTTCTAAAAACCAAGTTGTAGGAAGTGCATTTAAATTTTTATACTTATGACTGGCCTTATTTGGATTCACATAAAAATCATCCCTTTCTCCTAACTGCACTGTGCATCTAATCCAGGTCGAAGGGCCAAATATTTCCATGTTAAGCTGTAAATGTGCATGTCTAGGTTTTACAGGTTAGAGGTGGGAGATGGGTGAGATTAGGGTTCCCTTTACATAGAGCAGGGGTGGGGAAACTTTTTTCTGCCAAGGGCCATTTGGATATTTAAACATCATTCACGGGCCGTACAAAATTATCAACTTAAAAATTAGCTCTGAAAAAAGCTCTTAGATTTATTGAATTTTGAGTCCTGCCTGCAGTTCTCTTGGCAGGGCCAGACTAAATGATTTCTTGGTACTGGTAATTCCTGAATAGCAAATGGTAAGTGACAGCCATGCAGAGTGACTGCTGCTGGTGTGTGTGTGTGTGTGTATATAGGGGGGTAGATGGCTACTGAGGATGGGGGTGTGTCCAGTGTGCTACGGGGTGCTGGAGGGGCACAAGGAAAAAGAGAGGGGGCAGTGAGAGAAGGGTCCACAGCATGATTTACTCAGACTTCAAAGCCAGGGACAGTCTTGCCCTGGGCCTGTACTGAGAACTGGAGAAAGGAGGCAGAAAACATGATTCCTGTCATCAAAAGAGGCACTCCAACTTGGGCTTCAGGATGAAGGGAAGAAATAAGGAACAAAAAAGCAAATGGTAGAGAAAGCGGGCAAGTCTCCTGGGAAGGAACTGTTTAGTGCCTTCAACTTGTGCCAAGAGAACTGGGAACATGAAACCCAGCTGGTAAAAATGCCTCCATACCACAGTTTCTACTCCAAACTGCCCTTGTGTGAGAATAAAGCTTATTTGTGTACAAGAGCCGACTATCTGCTAGACTGAAGTGAGGGAAGTTCATTAAGCAGGAACAAGAACAAGCAGCAGTGAGGAGGCCGGGACCAGGGGTGACTTTCTAACAGAAGCCTCTCTCTGCACGCAAGTGTCAGATCAGGAAGCTCACCTTTCCTATGTGTCAGTCTTTGCTTCACCGACCTGACCTGACTGAGGAGGGGGTCCGGGCCTGTTTGGTTCTGAGGCACAGCATGATTCCAGAAGTATTAGGGAAAGGTCACCTAGGGAGGCTAGGCAGCTCTTCGTTTCTGAGGACCTGGTACCCTGTTGGCCCCTGAGGTGCACCTTGGCCTTTCTGATGTTTCTGAGAGGGGGACACTGGAGTTGGCCTAGGGATACTTTCTTGGAGCTCTGGTTAAGCCCCAACCTACTCTATAGTTCTGGGCCTGCCATGGCATCCTGTTAGGAGGTCCTGATGATTCTGAAGCAGATTTTCAAAGTGAAGACATCAGGGTAAGTCAGGCTCAGGTTAGGGATTAACACTGGAGACATTTCATGAGTTACCAGGGAAGGCTGAGAACCTCCCATAAAGTTGCTGCTGCTGTTTTGGGAGGGACTGGTTGGTAACTCTAAACTCAAGATTTTTAGAGACAAGTAGGATACTTAGAGGGTGGTGAATCTGTTCTCAGAATTTGAGTAAATAATTAATACTTTCCCCAGGGGTTACTCAAAACAATTATCCCCTAACGGGACACTCAATGTCAAGAGCTTGTATCATGACAGCCTGCTTCCTAAGAGCAAGGGTGAACCAGCAGCAGCAAGTGAGTCTGGCGGCCTTCTAGAGGTTCTTTAGTGGAATGAAGCACAATTCCTGGTCTGCTGACTTCTCGGCCGTTCAGAACATTTTTGTTAATTCAGGTCCATGATCCCTCCTCTACAATTCCAAATAAAGAGGTTTGAAAGCCATGTGTTCAGGTGGCAGTATGTAAACCTCTGGGGCATAAACCCTAACTTGCCTTGAAGTGATTTTTAGCCATTATTTATCCTCAATGTAAATATTCACGTTTCACTGAATTAATACTTTATTTGACGATGAGGTGCTCCCAGGGGAATTACATGCTACATAGCTAATGCACCACATTACTTTTCTAAACTCCAAAAAATGCTGAATTTCACAGCACACTTGGCCCCAGAGGCTTGAAGAGGGGCTGTGGGCCTGGACTGCTGTCTCTGGCTTACCACAACTGCAGGCGCCCGTTTCTCGGACCCAGGACGCAGCTAAATCTAACCCCCGACAGTCAAACAGGAGTAGGGGTTGGGTAGGGGCAAAACTGAGGTATATCTGAGGGCTGGGAGGACAGTATGGCGACCAGTGCCCATTGTGACCAGGAGTCTGACGAGACAGGAGATGGCTGCTCCCCGAGGTGGCAGCCCGCCCTTGGCACTCTTGGGATGCAGGCTCTGGGCAACAGCTCCTGTGGCTTGAGGGCTAACCAGTCAGGACTATGAGGTCCAGTGGGAAGAGCTGGACTGATCCTTGGAGAGGCAGGCTGCCTTGCTAGAACTAGAGGCACTGATGATTAACTGCCCTACATACTTGGCGCAGCGGAGCTCTGACTTCTAGAAAGAGTCTTTGTCCCTGGTGCAGTCTCTAGCCCTGAACCTTAGAAAACACACCTGCCTGTCTTTGTTGTGGCAGCACCTTCAGCACTAGAACCCTTATGCTCTCTCCTTGCGTGTCTCTCCTTGTGTGAATTTTCTTGAGTACAGGGGTCACCATCTTATTCATCCCTGTGTCCCTGGCACTGCGCACAGTGTTGGGCACCGAGGATGCATCTATTAAATGTTTGTGGAATGAAAAGCCTGCCTAAGGGTCACATCTTGCCTTGTCCTGACTCCTAGATCACAGACAGATATGCAGCCGGGCAGCTGCACAGACTGAGTCACATATGCACGACCCTGCTAAGTAGGGGTGTGAGAGAATGGAGCTGTGTTTATTGGTCTCATTTAGCATTTATTTTTCTAATAGTTTATTTAAAACCAGCAAATTTCTACTAAGTTTAACTTCCCCTGAAGTAGAGAGAGAAGGTAGATTTTGTTGATGGGAAAAAGGGAAGGAAGACTTGCCAAACAAACTTCTTATTAAGTAATGATGTCACGAGCTGTTACAGAATGAAGGCATTTGGAGATGCAAAAAACTTCAGAAATCACCTAAATCCTACAGCATTTATGTGGTTGCTTCAGAGACACATGGTTGTCATGATTAAGACTGGAACAAGAACCATGTTCTCGAGTTCCCAGACTGGCACTGTTTCTACAACTGAAGGTGAGACTGAAGACCTGGGACTGTCCACATTCTATATGACCATCTTACTTCTCTAAAATGTAAATTTTAAATATTACAGAGTAAAACCTCATTAGGGTGGACATCTATGATAATATATCTAACCTGAACTTGTTTCTTATGCTATTAGCAGAAACAGGTATGGTTAAGAACTAAAATTGCTCCCTGGCTGGGTAGCTCAGTTGGTTAGAGCATCGTGCCGATATGCGAAGATTGAGGGTTCAATCCCTGGTCAGGGCACATAAAAGAATCAACCAATGAATGCATAAATAAGTGGAACAACAAATCAATGTCTCTCCCTTTCTCTCTCTCTCAAATCAATAAAAAAAATAAAAAAAGAACAAAAATCGCCAACATTTACACTGTTTACATATCAGACTGACTGCCTACAAAATTAATTAGGTTTTACTGTGTATACAATACACACACACAGATAAAGAACATTTCTGGATTAAAATGTTTCCAGAAGTCCATGTACTAATCCACAACTTCAAGATGACAGAAAATACTTACCACTGCCAGCACTACCCTCTCTCTTGATGCGGGAACTTCCGGGGCCATCTCTGCCAGACTTTATGCGCTAGAGCAAAAGAACAAGAACAAGAACAAGAACAAGAACAAGAACAAGAACAAGAACAAGAACAAGAACAAGATGAGTTTAAAAGAATAACTCATTTCTTTGAAGTTGAATATAACTAAAAGCTGATTTTTAAATTAATGTTACTATGTAATTCTGAAGACTTACTGCTCCTACTTTCCTGAAAGCTGGGGTCAAAATGATTGTTACCTTAGTTGGTTCTATGGAAATAAAGACTATGTTGTTTTGTAAGTCTGGGGTTCAAAGCCTGCTCTCCAACACTCAAATGGCACTTACACTTCTAACTGCAGTGTAACCTCTGCTTATACAAACATCCTAAAGCCCGAATATTCTCTTGGTGTGGAAGTTCAGGTTTAAACACAATCATCTGGAGGGGTGGGAGAAGGGAAGATAATCTATTAAAAGGCTATTTCCTGCATTGGTCCTACTCTACAATGGTTGGACCTAAACTATTACAGGGAAAAAAGGCAACTTGGCTTTTGAAATTCAACTTCTACAATAAAAGCACTATTAAAATCTCACTACCCTAGCCGGTTTGGCTCAGTGGTTAGAGTGCCAGCTGGAGGACTGAAGGGTCCCAGGTTTGATTCCAGCAAGGGCACGTACCTCGGTTGCAGGCTCAATCCTAGGTCCTGGTTGGGGCGAGTGTGGGAGGCAACCAATTGATGTGTCTTTCTCACACTGATGTTTCTCCCCCCTCCCCACTCTCTGAAAAGCAATGGGAAAAATATCCTCATGTGAGGATTAAAAAAAAACCAAAAAAACCCTCACAAATGCCTTATCTGTTTAATAGTCTACTTTCTTAGACACAGATTCACCCTTAAAGAGAAATACCTCCAAGCTGTGACCTTCTTAGTTTTCCTTTTATATTTTATTGTTTTGTGTTTTGCTTAAGTGTTAGAATTTTTATATCACAAGCTGCTTCAAGTCTCCCTTTGACTGGTATGAGGCAGGGCCTGATGGCAGGTAAAAGAGGAAACACTGGAATAATAATTAATAAAATGATTCTCATCACAGCAAAACTAAAATGTGAGGGAAGCAGCCATAAAATGGAACACAAATCAGAAAGTGACAGAGGGGAAAAAAAAGACAGACGTCTGTTTATTGACATGGAACTCTGTCCACATTATTTTGGGGGGACAGTGTGGGGGCTATAAGCCAGGATTTTTGCAAAAATCCCATTTTTGTAAAAAAAAGTACCATTTAAAAATATATATGTATTACTATGTTTGTATATATTTGTAAAATGCCCAGGAAGATACATACTAAAATGCTGATAGTGATCTTAAAGTGCTAGGATGGGTGATTTTCACTTCTTTCTTTGTACATTTTAATTTGAATTAAATCTATCTAGCCCAGCCGGGTGTGGCTCAGTGGTTGAGTGTTGACCTAGGATCCAGGCGATCGGGGTTCGATTCCCGGTCAGGGGACATGCCCGGGTTGTGGGCTGCAGCCGATCAATGACTCTCTCATCATTGATGTTTCTATCTCTCTCTCTCCCTCTCCTTTCCTCTCTCTGAAATCAATAAAGATATATTTAAAAAAAAAAGTAATCTATCTAACTTTAAAAGAACATTTTTTTAATAATATAAAAAAAGATGGCATTCCTATTCTGAAACATATATGCCATTCCAATTTTGAAAAAAAAAAAAAAAGGTAGGTGCAAGAGGAGCAAAATAGATACAAATAAAACAATGGGACAAATTAAATAAACAGGCATTGAGAGTGAGAAACATTTTTTCCTTTTATACCTACGGTTCGATATGAGCATATGACTATATATGTCCTCTACTACTACTCTGGAATTGGAATAAAATCAGAGCCTTAAATGTTCTACTCAGAGTGGAGGCCAATAACCTGCCACCCCACAAACTGTCACCTATCCTTGATGAAGTGAGCACAGAACTCGAGGGTGAGGGTTGACAAGCTTGCATATTGATTTCACATTTCTGACATCCAAGTGCGTGATCATTTTGCTAGTGATGTCAATGACAGATTGGGACAAAAAATTAACTGCACCACAGACCTTTGAGAAGCGGTGATCTGGAATACTCTCCCAATTTTACAGCTAATGAGAATGAGGTCCAGAAGAACAAATGTCCCTTCTGAGTCACAGAGCTGGCCAATGGTCAAGCCAGGAAATAAGTCCAGGGTCCTGTCCACCACATATGCTTTTGTTCAATAAGACTTAGATTTTTGTCCAATAAACAAATAGCAGTTAGTTGTTTCCTAGTTAAGGATTCTTAAGAAGACCGGCTCTGATTTCAAATTCAAGAGAAAACTCCAAAAAATGCATGGACATGGCTGTAACTTCCTGCACTCTTCTTCCTAGAGATTCCGTACCTGCTCTAAACACTAGCTCCTCCAGGAATGATGTGAGTCCTCCTCTGAAGCTGAACCCCTCCATCCCTCTTCCCACAACTCTTGTTTCCCTCACATGCCACATGACCCTGGCTAGAGGAACTGGTGTTCATCTTGTACTCCCATGTTACGAGCACCTTCAGTATGGGGCCAGCTCTTACACAGCACTGTGTCTTCCACAGAGCACAGCACATTGTGATAAATGTTTCCTGAAAGGAGGAATGGGGACTAACAGAAGGTAGGACAGGAAGACACTGGCATCAATGGCCTCTAACAAAGGCAGTGATTGGGAAGCTGCACCTAGAAAATGTAACCAATGCTCAAATCACCATGAATTTGATATCAATGATACATATTTTCTTCCACATTTTTGTTAGACTTTGTAAATGCCATAATGCATAAAATGTGCAAGACATCCTTGTAGCTTTTATTACATACATAAACTTTTTTAAATTTTGTATTTCTTCTGTAAGTCAATTTGAAAGCCATGCCTTTATGAGATCTTATTGCTGAATCTCTTTTCTTTTAGGAAATATAACCAAAAGGGTTTCTGCTCAAATAGATGGTATACTTATTTTCATTGTTTTTTGATAATAACTGAAATTTGATGATAAATACCAACTACATTTTATATTATTTTTGAACATCACATGATATTTTGTCAATTTGGACAAAATAAAGCATTTCTTGAATTGTTTGCTGATTTCTTTGGAGAGAAAATAGCAAATTTTTTTTCTAGAGATCACCATACCTGAGTTTCTCTATTTGAAAATTTTGAAATTTCAGAAATTTGATTTTAAAAATGGAATGAATTACTAATATACTTCTATTTTTGGACTAGCAATTAAAACTTCCTGTATTTTATAAATTATTTATCTATTTTCTTTTGCCTCCTAATAATTTCCTTTTGTTTTCTAATCCTCTTTGGAATTTTAGCTGACATTTTTCTCTTCTTTTTCATATTTAAAATACTGTCTTCACTTCCTGTTCTTCTCACTCTGCTCTTTCCCTAGCAAAGAGTCAAGTCTGACAGAAACATGAACATCTCTTAAAATACAGCACTGCTCTGGGGTCTGGGGTCCAGGGTCCAGACTGGGCAGAGTGACTCTTGCCTGGCCCACTGGCCTGTGCCTGGAATTGCTTCCTGCTGTCACTAATGAATACATATGGGTGGAGTTTCTTCTTACTCAGAATGTGATCCTTCAAGCACAAAGGGGAGAACGGTCTTCTTTTCTGTAATAGTTCCAGGAAGACGATGAGTTTCTCTGATAATTATTCTATATAAACAACCTTCTGGCTTTAACATCTTAAAAATGGCATTAGCGGCTAAGGGAGATATATTATCTTGACCCACATAAACCTGAATTGATTTATCTTTCTTTCTGAGGTCTACACAAATCCTTTTCCATTTAAAAATAATTTTTAAAATTCCATGGCCTGATTTATTTTATGTCTACTCCCCCCCCCCCCCC